TGTGATGGTCACAGAAAGCTAAAACTCGAGATGTGAAGTGACTGAAGACAGTATAATTAAAGATGTTTGTGTGACACAAGAATAGCAGATCAGGGATTTAAAAAAAAAAATAAAATAGTAATTATGAACTGAAGCGAGAGATGAGCATGAAGTTAACTGGTGTGTGCAAAAAGTCACTGGGCTGTAATCACTGTTATACTTTTGCTGACAGTGATGCAGGAAATAGGACTGTCTCAGCAAGCATTTGAGCTCTCAAGATCAATATTGTTTATTCCACTTGGCCAAATTGTATTAGCAGCTGAATTTGGTCCCTAGGGACATCTGTACTGGTGAAAATAATTTCCATTTAAAGCCCTCTGATCTGATTTCCTCTATCCAGATAATGCAATTCCCACCCCCTTCCAACGGCTGTGCTGAAGCAGCGTCCATCTAGTCCGTGTCAGCCCTGCCACCATCCCACCAGCTCCTGCCTGCACCCAGCCTTGGCATCCTGCTCCTGACATCTCCTTTGGGCCTGGGGGGAGCTCTGTGCCAACAGTTTTAGGGCCAGTGGCTGACCATACCCAACACAACTGTTCCCTCCCAGCACTGGCTGTGCAGCCAGGACCTTCCCAGGGAGTCAGTACTTGGGGTTCCCTGGAAAAACCCATCTAGGAAATGTCTGGGGTCTGTGGGTGGGTGAGATCTGCTGTGTCCAGCCCGGAGGGTACATGGAGTGATTGACATGGGTAACCTGAATCTTCATCTCCTGTCAGTGCAGGTATGCCAGAGGAAGGTTTGCAGTATTTGTGTGTGTGAGCCCGAACTCTTACATTAGGGGCTTGGTTGACTGCTTTTAGATTTCTGTGGCTGGTTGATGAGCAGCATCTTTTGAAGTACCATGTATCCCTCAAACGTTTCTTTTCCATCTATTTTTCCATTAATTTTTCTGCTTTATCAGCTCGCCCTTAACTCATGGCTTGTCATCGTGTTCTGCCCCCGCCCCAAGCTGCTAAACTGTCCTTCCCAGCTGAAGGGTCATTATTTCCTTACAGTTCTGCCTCCTTCTCATCTCCAATTGCAGCTGCCGCTCCGGGGCACAGACAAAAGACGGGCTTGTCTGCGCCTGACAGGAACAAGAAAGCGCTGGGAAGCATAGTCCAAATAGATCTCAGTGGAACAGAAATCACAAGCGAATAATAATCCAAAAATATTTTCAGACAATCCCGATGATTTAATAGCTGGGTTTTAAAAACCAAACTGAAACAAGGCGGGTTTTTGGCAGGCTGTGCCCTGTCCCCACAGCTGCTCACACTAGAGGGCAGCCCGAGACTGTCTGTACAGTGCTGTTGGAATTCAGCTCACTGTTTCAGAGAAAAAAAACAAATTGTGTCCCCGTATGGAAGAAATGTGCCCGTTTTCAGCTTGATTTAGCATACAGAACTCCAGTTCCTCCATATACCAACCTTTACTACATGGCAGTGTCAGTGAAAAGAGGATTGTGAAGGAATTCAATTTCACCACATGTTAAGGAGGCCACTTTTAAACACCAATAAATTCTTCTATCAAAATATGAAGTTATATCTATCTTAAAATATTTAAAATAAGGTCAACCCTAGAATACCTGGAGATAACTACTGGAAACTACAAGTAGCCAGCCTTGGCGCACAGAGCAGCACTAAAATAGCAACACTTGCTTCCCAAACCAGTAACGAGCAGTCAGAAAAGCTGAGGCTTTGGCAGCTGATGTTTGGTCTCCCTGCATGCTGGGATCACATATGATCCAAACACACATCAGCATGACAGGCACCGCTTCTGCTCCTGAACAGCTTGTATTTACTAATTAATACCAGCATTCCACATTCATGTATTATTCCATGACAGTCTGTCTCATAGTCATACTTTTGTTATGCTTTGAGTCTCATTTAGAACTTGTTGAATATTCTATTTTAAAATGTAGTTAACATTGGCACATGTGTGATAGGGAGGTATGATGCAAAAATGAGTATTAAGAATAGTAAATTAGAAAGCAATAATAATTATTTGAGTTACAGCAGATTGACTAGTTTAATGTATTTCATTTGGTTTTGGTTAAACTACATAAAATTAACGTAATTCATTAAAAGTTGAAAATAATACAGGTGTATTGAAAATAAAAGGTGTATGTTAAAATAATTTGTGTTTCCCTGAAGCATCTTTTGCTGTGTTTCCCAGCAGGTGCTCAGGCCAGAGGCAGAAGGAGGGCACCCTGCAGCTCGGGGGGCTCTGGCTGGGACTGTGGGCACTGCCTCTGACACCCCAACCCGACAGAGTGACACTCTGACACTCCTGCAGGGAGCAGGAGGCTCCAGCCAAGCTGGGCAGTGTCCACAGCACAGCCACCTCCTGCACAGCTCCCAGCTGCTTCCTGCCAAACAGCCCCGTGCCTGGAGTTACAGCTGCTGTGAAATCCCAGGGAGGCTGAGAAGGTTCATTGATTGAACAGATAGGAATTTTTCATTTTTCCTCTATAATGAGGCATCCTTCTCAAAAGCATCACTCTCAGCAAAGCCCTGTTCCTGCCAGACTCTTTGGAAGCAGCGTGCTGAGGCTGTCAGGAGTGAGCCATTCCTTTTAACACAGCAGGTCTGCTTGTGCACCTCCAAAGGATGCAGTTGTGAAATACACACTGGAAAGGCTCCTCTGCAGCACTCAGCTTCAGCTCCTGCTGCTTTGAACGCGGCTGTCACAGCATGCCAGCTCACAGGAGTCCTCCCCAGGGGACCCGTGTGTGTCAGGTACAGTGACCCAGAGAAAAACAAGTGGAAGCTATTTGTCTGTTGAAACTGGGCTGAATGACCCCTGTTGCACAGTCAGCACCTGAACCAGCAGTGTCCTGAGCTGCTGCTGAGGCGATCTGAGGGGAGAGCTGCGATTCCCGGCTGATACGGACTGCTGCACACACAGGGTGCTGCTAACCCGTAACGCTGCCTGGGACCGTGCTGGTCATGCATGGAGGCAGCATTGCTTTTATAATGTATAATTATAATATAATGTTCCTTGTTATCTGCATTGGTGTTTTATCAACAGATTATAGGGGCATCAGTGACTGTATAAAGTGTGACCCAAACCATCAAGGGAAATTCAGCTAATTCCCCCTCTGGACTGCAGTGGAGGGCACTGAGCTGTGCTCAGGACTCTTGAAGTTTTCATCCATGGGAGTGTAAAAAGCAGTCACAGCACTTAAGGGCTTGGACTCCCACTGCAGGCAGGGTCCTTAGAGCAGTGGTCAGCTCCTTGCACAGAGCTGGCGATGAGGCTTTCAGCTCCCTGTCTGTAATCCCATTTCTTCGGGACTGCCAGAGTGTGGTGGGGCAGTGAGGGGGTTAACGCTGCAGCAGTCCTTTGATAATTGAAAAAGAAAAAAGCCCATCCAAAGCTAACAAAAACAACCCCCTGTTTGAGGTCAGTGCTCTAGTAAGTGCCTTTTAAAGAAACAATAACCCGGTGCAATAGAAAATATTCTGTCCCTCTCTTCAGTAGAAATCTGATAAACCACGGAGAGAGGCAGGTGTCCAAGGAGATAAAAGTAATAAATGTGGCTGCAGTTCGGGAGTGAGTTAGACTGTCAGGCTGGTAATTAAATGAAAGCCCTCTCAGGAAATGCTGGAAGCTAATAGATACTCATGGAGATGCCAATTCATTTGCCTCAGCAATATATGTTAATTTTAGCATGGGATTAATTTATACATTTTGCAGTGGGACGAAATGGCAAGGATGGGAAGGGGAGAGCTTTCATCCTGCCAGTGGTAGAGATCATTAAGCACCTTATACTTGTTAAAAACAGAACAGTGTATGAAAATGGGAGAGAGAAAATGTTTGATTTAAGTACATTCTCTAAACAGAATTAACTAATCACAGGCTTATACCTGACCCAGAGCACTCTTGCAGACAGCTGCCAGGGGCTCCTTGGCTTTGCCACAGCTCAGTAAGTACAGAGCCCTAGTTAGCAGGTAGTGCAAGTCACTCTGTGTTGCTGTGGTTTAAAGGATTTCTGAGTTACGAGAGTGTGAAATGAGGAGTGCTGCAGAGGTGGGTCCCACTACAGGAAGAATAGTGGTTATTTGGGACTACAGCTAGCTCAAGGATGGATGCTCTGGCAAGTGTACAGAGGAGCTGCAGGAAAGAACAGATTTGTATGTAAAAACACACTGGTAATCACTGAGAGAGCTGGTAATCACCAAGGGAGCTGGTAATCACCAAGAGCTGGTAATCATCTTCAGCAGAGCTGGTAGTCACCATAGAGCTGTGTGTGTGCCATGCAGGCTTGGGGCAGTGAGCAAATCACTGCTAAATCATCAGCAATTCAGGACCCTGTCAGCTTTAGCCTTGTGGCACATGCTGACCACAGAGCTGCCCAGCTCCTTCTGCTCAGTGGTTGTGCTGTTCTGGAAGAAAGCTAACTCTGAAGGCAGGCAGGCACTGAAGTAGGGGAGATGTTCTCCTGCAGCAGAGGGCAGTGAGGGGGCTGAGACCCTGTTGTGCCCTCAGGAAGTGGCTGTTTGTGGGTTACTGTCCCTCTCTGAGGTAATTTTTGAACCTTGCATCACTTCAGCGCTGTTTGTCTCAGGCACTGAGCTCTCATGTGCCATCCCTGCAGCTCTCAGGTGCACAGCTGAGGACAGACGCTGCTCCCAGAGCACGCCCAGGCCCGTGGTGAGTCTGGGGCTGCCCGTGCTGGTGTCTGCCAGGGCCCTTCACTGCACCAGGTGCTGCTGGGGACACCAAATGAGGCCCTGATTTACACATCCAAGTGTGGCATTAAGGGCTTGACTACGGCTATCTCAGCGCTGAGACACACACTGCAGCACAGCAGGCTTCTTTCTAAAAAAAGCCCTCTGATCTGTAAAATTATCAGCATTGAGGCAGCAGAAGCAAAGCAGATTTTCCTTTATTTTCTTCTGCCTTAGAGGAGGAATACTCACTTGCCCTTCAGTATGATTACAGCCCATTTACCAACACTTCTTTTTTTTTTTGAATTTCAGACCTACATTTTGGAACAGTCACAAGGAAGAAGTGTTTCTTTTCAGAGCCTGGAGCAGTCAGCACAAGGGTAAAGTTTATTTAACAAAAAGAATAGTTCCAGCTGAATACATATTGTGAAATTACAGTATCATTTAAAGCAAAATAGAAATGGTTGCGGGTCAGGGTCAGGGAAGGAAGATAATGACATCTGCTGCAAAGTGCATCCAACAACTGTCTTCAAATTTTAAAGTTTTTTTTATAGGATGTTTTTTTCTTTTCTTTGTGTAATTAGGCAAAAAAAAATAGAACTAAAAAAAATGTACTAGATGCTGGAAGCAAGGTTGAGGCTTGCTTAGGGATTGCAAATAGAGGCATTATAAGTGGTGTCTCAGATTCTGATTTCAGAGTTACAGGCTCTGTCTTTCCAGGATGGAGGTCCATGCTCTTCCTGCCCACACACGTGTCCCTGAGGGATGTCCTCCCTGCCTGGCTGGCCAGGGCAGGACCCTGAGGGACCCCACGGGGGCTGGCCCTGGCTGCACACTCCTTGCTTAACAGCCATTGTCCTGATGCCACAGAAGTCACCTCAGTCCTTTTTGTTCCAGACTGCAGCTGTCAAAATCCACACTCTTCATGGGAAGGAATTTCCTACTTTTGACAATGGTACTTTTAGCTGGCTCTTGCCACTCTTGCTGCACATTCTGGCTGCTGTGTCTCCTCCCAGGCACTGCTGTAGTGTCCTTCTGCCCCTGATCCAAGGGCTCTCAGTGTTTCCATAACACTGGGAAGTGGGCTGGGAACAAACCCAGGGATATCCTGGAGGTCCTACCAGCATCAGCCCTGTGTGTTTGCCTGCATGAGCTGTGGGAGACATGGAGGAGTCAGGAGAGCTCACATCATTTCAGGAGGGGCTCCTGTGCCAAGGAGATCTTCTAAATCCTATCCCCTGAGGACTGATTTACAGGGATTTTAAGGGACTCTGTGGGCCGTGCTTTAATGTGTCTTGACACTACTGAATTGAACTGAGCCCTTCCATAACCCTGACATTTAAACACAGATGTTGTGTGTTGTCCTCTTATAAATTGAAACAAACAAAAAAAAAAAAAAAGGAAGAAATAATAATTTCCCTCATTGTCATGCATGTGAAAATCAGCTGAGACATTTTTGATGCTCACACAGATATACAGAGTCAGTTCTGGGGACAGGACACGGGGATGTTCCAGTTGCCAGTGTAGATCCATTCCCTGCAACTCAGGTTCTGCTCTCGCTGGGAGGCACTGAGACATTCCCGGTGTTTGGGCAGAGGTGATGGCTGAGCAGAGCAGCTGGAGCCCTCCTTCTCCCCGGAGCCTCTCCAGGTGTGGCACAACAGCTCCGCTCCCAGGTGCTGCTGCTGCCGCCTCGGCTGTGCTTTAACACCGGCTGAGCCTCCCACATGGCAGCGTGATTTACTAAAGCACTAAGATATTGGGTCAGCCTTGTAAATCATTTTAATTATTTCACTAAACAGGTTGTGGAAATAGATCAATAGAAAATATGGCATTTAGGCTTACAGTGCTGTGCATTCATTATGGGAAAGGAATTATATTAACTGATTTAGGAGCTAATAATAACTGAAAATAACAATTTAATGGAAGCCTTCCAATCCTGTACTTTCAAAACAGGATACAGCTATACGCAGTCTACTCATTTTAATCTCAGTCAAGTATACAGAGCAATCTTTTGACTTCAGAGAAATGTCAGTCAAGTACAAGTACTTGCAGACTTTCAGCATCCCATAAATTACATTATAATAAAACCAAAACAAAGAAACTGTCAACAACCATTTTTACATATTGGCAGGGTCACACGAACCAGACACATGAAAAATAAGAAAATACATTGCAATCTAACAAAGTGAAAGAGTTGCACAGTAGGGGCTATTTTCCTCTTGCAGTTTGTATTTCTGTGAGACCATAGTTTGTGCTGCAGAGCTTGAAGGACACTTCTCTAAGATATTGGGGTTTTATCTCAAACATCTGAATAGTAAATGTATGCTATATTTCTGTGAATATACACTGTATATGTGATTTATATATGCAAGGAGATAGGGAGGAAAACAAACCAGAAAAACCTAATCTCACCTGTGCAGCAAAAGCCAGGTGCCAGCATTCAGTAGCTGGGGTCAGCATTGCTCTGTTACAATTATTTCACTGTAGCTGTACTTAATTTGGTATGCTGTGTCCTGGTTTTCTTAATGCATGCATGACAGTCACCTGTGCTGTTAAAATATTTCCTTCTGAAATAAGCTGTACATTGTGCCTCTTTAATGTCTAATTGGCCATCGAGTCACTGCTGAAGGCAGCAGCAGGACTGTGGGCAGAATCCCAGCTGCAATCTGATAGTGCCCCTGTGTCAGGCTGGTTCCAAAGCCTGCAGCCTCCTGATAGGCACTTGTCACACCAGCTATCTCCACTCTGCTTTGCAGGCACAGTTAAGCTTTTCTTTAAGCCCTCAGGCTAGATAGCTTTGGAATTATGCACTTCATCACACCCCAATTAGCTAGGGATGCATGACAAAACCCGTTATCTGTTCGTTTAGGTGGGAAAACACCTTATTTTGCTTCTTGGTTCAGCACGTGAAGAAAAAAAGCACATACCCTTTTTCTCTACCGAGAAAAGCTTGCTTTAGAGCAGAGTGAAACTTCGAGCAGTGTCAAATCATGCTGTTCCCTTATTTACCTGTGTCCTTGAGCTCCATCCGGCTGTTTTGGGAATGCTAAGTGGTGCTAAAATAAAAATAAATGGCTTCAGTGTGAGCGCAGAACTTGCAGAGCCCATTGGCCGTGCAGCAGGTGTGTGTCGCTGTCCTGAGCCCCCAGAGCAGGTGACATCCCCCGGACAGGTGGTCCCCAAGGCTCCCCACACCGCCTCCACCCCTCACCATCTCGCAGTTGCACTCCTGGCTGTAAACAGCAGACTGCACGGGTGTTTTTCCCAAGCCCAGTAAATGCCAGCAGCAACAGATGAGCACTGAATGAAGGGAAATGTGCTGGGTCATTGTCACGGCCCTGAACGTGAGCAGGGCTTTCTCTGGTGCTGCTGTGCTCCAAAAAACCTGCTGTGGCAAGGTTTGAATTACCCGGGGTAATGAGCCTAAACTGGGTTGACTTTTCCATACACATTTACAAGCAGGTTGACAAACACTTTCTGAACCAGCAAAGCTCCTCATATTTGCTTTTGAGATGTTTTTCTTTAGTGAAATTCTTTAGTCTAGCATAAATAGTGTAAGACCTCTTTGGTCATTAAATAATTAACTCAGGTTCATAAAGGGAGTTGATGTTCTTAAAAAATATTGCAAAATGTTCGACTACTTGCATTTGACACTGTGGCAAGGTGGATTTAGTTCCTTTTATTCAGTCTTGTTATTAAGTCATGTTACAGCTCCCATTCTGACAGGAGCCTGGTGTGGTTGCTGATTGCTCTGTGCTGGGGCAGGGAGGGCAGAGCCCACCTTCTGTCTCTCCCTAGTGCTGGGGAGCTGCAAGGTGGCCACAGCCACAGATTCCTCCAGGACTGAAGCACTAATAGGTATTCAGTTCTGGTCTTCCTGTCTTGTCAAACTGTGCTTGCTTCTCTGCAGACTGAAATGCCAGGGTTATTAATTATTAAAGGATGTCATAAGGAGTCTGGCTGTGTGGTTCTTGGCTAGCTTGGGTGCAAAGACATTATCAGTGACTTAACCATAAACGGAGGTTCATTCTAACCAGGATTGCAATTAGCACCTTGCTGTGCATTTAACTAACTTGAGACTTTCATACTACTATACTATAAAAGTTGAAATTATATCCAGGCACTCTGTAAATGGATTACACTATTATCATTATTTGTAGCACTGAATGATTGTACTTTTACTGTCTTGCACTGAATTAGCATAAATGAATAACAAACATGAGTGTATTTGGTAAAGACCATAAAGTAACTGATGTATCCTTAATCAAACTGTAAATTTTCACTGTCTCATTTGATTCTGTTGCCTGTAGCTTCTCTTGTGCACTTTCTCAAGTGCTGCATTCCCCTCAGGGTATGAGGTATCACTGAGAGACATGGTTCAGCCCAGATCATCACTCAGTACAGTTCTTCCTTGGCCTGGCTTGGATTTAGATGTGCACATTATGTGTTTGTCCAAAGGTTTATCAGCATTCCCAAGCAAGTGCAGCACGGGAGCTCAAAGCACTGCTTGGCTCAGTCAGAGTGAGACACACTGGGTAGGCACTGCTGGCTTCCCAGGGCACTGTCAATTCAGTACAGCACTGGGGGGTGTTTCAGCAGCATCCTAATTCCTGCCACAGACACAGGATGACTTTATCTGGGCAAAACAGGCTTTGAAATCTTGAGGCACTTGAGGGTCCCTTCAGGAAGTGTTGGGTGGCTTCTCCTTGTGCTCCCACTGTCCCTGTCTGCTCAGAGCAGCAGGAGCAGCAGTGTCTGTCCTGCCAGACCACAGAGCGTGAGGCTGAGCTGTGCCCTAGCACACTGGGCAGGAGCTTTCCTGAGCTGCACTGGCTGTGGCTCTGGCAGCCTGCTAATGCAGCCCCTGCCATCCTGCTTTCAGTGCTTGCAAAGGATCCCAGAAAAGAAAGACAAATGAAGAATCCTCATCACCGTGCTGGTGATGCTCTGTGGGCCCCAGAGAACTGACTGATTCTCAGAGCACAGACTGACCCCCAGCCCAGGGCTGCCTGATGCCACGAGACAGCACGTTCATTCCCAAGGGGGAATTTAGTTCTCAGATGCTTGGCTAAGATCTGACCAAGCTGCTCCTCTCTGGGTCACAGCCACCACCACATTGCTCTCCTGGGGGAAGGATGAGGCAAAGCCAAGAGGGTGTCAGAGTCCTGGCACCAACCTTCCTCACACCCAGCCTAAGAGCACAGACACTCTCCCTGTGGGGCTGGTGACACATTTGTAAAACTGCAAAGACATTTGGTTTATGACATAGTGACAGGTATCCATCACTTGGATCAACTCTGACAACTCTGGAAGCACTGAAATTCAACAGTCCAGAATAGTAAGTAAATAAATTACAGCATAGGCATTAAAAAGAGGCTCTGCCATGGGAATTTAGAGCTAAATCTCATGTTTAACGTAGACTGTTAATACAGACAGACTGTCTGTCAAAGAAAAAAATAAATTAAAACCTATTATAAAAACACAACACTTGGAAATCAGAAATATGCTACTAATTTTTGCCAAACAGTTTACTTTGACTGCCAGGCAAAATATCAACACCTGCCTAGGTACTAAGTCGATCAGCCTAAAACCCAAAATGAGCCACAGTATTCAGTGGATTGTCAGAGTAAATTCAGAGCCTGAAAAATACTCAGTAATGAAGAATTCCTATTTTAGTTTATTAAAAGAAAGCAATTACGTCAGATTTCCAAGCAAAATTAGAAGAAAATAAAAAAATAAGAGCTCATTCCTATGTCATCTGGTTTTTTCATCCTGTATAATACTCCCAAAGAGTTGCTTCCTATTTCAAGGATAATACTAACACAGAGATGAATGAAAATTTTTTAAAGATCTGGTCATGGAATAGAAAAAAAATAACACCCCTTTTCCCATCTTCCCCAGAGTAAATCCCAAAAATTTCCTGTTAGAAAAGTATAATTTTCAGTCGAACTGTAAACACTTAGAATTATTTATGAAGATCTTGGTAATTTAGTTTGTATTACACTACAGATAATTTTCCATATGAGATTTAAGAAACAGTTCAATAATAACAGGAAAGGAAATCTATACACAACAAATAGGGAAATCCATTAACTAACTCTACATCACAGTCCTCTTCGATTCAACTCCTAATGTAACTCTGTTTTACTTGGAATGTCCATAATTGCTATAATTAGGAGGCGGGCAGTCACCAGAGGAGAAATAGGAGATTTCAATCCACTCATTGGCATTAGCACAGACCTTAAAAAAAGCCACCTTGTTCAGTGCTGAATTTTGGTTTGTCGTTTTTATGGATCTGAGGCACATATCTTCCCTGACTGGCTTCATTTATAATATTACCCATCTCAACTCAGCAGAGGCTGCTGGGTTTTACAAACATGGTCTAAACTCAGCGACAAACCGCACATCCTGCCCTTCCTCCCTCCTCCCCATCCTTGTCACACACAGCTGCTGCTGTGCTGGGGCAGGACAGGCAGGGGGTCCTTAGGGCTGTCCTTGTTGGGGTTCTACAAGCCTTCATCTTGTTCCTGTTTATTTTCCCATGGAATAATTGTAGCTGCTCCTGCATGAACAAAACCCAAACCTGGTCCCCATGTGCCCACAGCAAAGCCCCCAGTTGCCAAGCAGTCCCCACTGCAGCACAGGCCCTGCAGCACTGCACAGGAACACCACAAAAGCCCAGAAACAGCAGTAAAGAAAGAATCCCCCATCTTTACACTGCTGTAAGTGGATGTTTTGCTATTTAAGCCCATTAGCAGCAGTGATTCGCCTATGTTGGTATTTTTAGTGCTCTCCCAAGGCTTGCAGCACTGGTTTTCCCTGACCTGGAGGCGCAGAGCCCCGGGGTGATGCAGGTGGTGTCCCCCAGATGCAGAGCTCAGGGGGCTGCAGGGGCACAGCTCCCTGGGCAGGGCTGCCAGAGCCCTCCCCCTGCCCAGTGACACCAGCCAGACACGCTTGCTGCGCATTAATATTCTCACAACAACCCCCCTCCAATCAGTCTTTGCTAAAAGCATTAATTAAGACTTTAACATTTCTGATCCCATCAATTTTCTGTTCTCTTCTTATTAAATAGATGTACTAGGGGAGTTTGAATAATAACTGCCCAAAGTTTGGGGATAATGAATAAATGAACTTTGCCAGCCTCTGGCTAAGCATGAAATTTGCTGTAGAGTAACAAATGCAACAGAGGCAGCTCATACATTAACCAACCTAGTTTTGACACTCAAGTTTGGGAGCGCATTATTTACTTACTTACTAATTCTAGGAGAGACTAGGCTCCAAAATGTTTTATGCAGGAAATGACAAATGCCATGTTCAGACAGTCTTTCTGCACTCTCCATCACAGCGTGAAGCTGCTCACTCACCCATCTTCTCTTCGGTGGGTCTGGCCCTCTTGCCACGCATAGCGAGGCTTTCAGTACTGCAGGCTCCATTTTCCTCAGGAGCTTTGCCAGGAAAGGAGCACACCACAAAATGGGTAATTTTGGTTTTTACTCCCTCGCTCTTGGCACTTTGAAGGTCACCTGTGTGCTGTCAAACTGCTTTTGTTCCATGTATTTTTGCATGTGCACGGCTCCAGCACCAGCTCTGTTACCCTGCTGTAAATCCATTCGTTTTTGTGGAAATCCATTAACTCGCAGTGAATTTATGGCAGTATAACTGTGAGCGAGCTGCAGCTGATGGCGCAGACTGGAAATATTACAAGGAAAAGTGCAAAGTTCTATTGATTTTCTCTCAGGAGAAATGTGTGTTTCCTTATGATTATATTACAGATGACTCAGCTCTGGCCCCCAGCAGCCATCCCTCATGTTTCCCTGCTCGCTGGCTGTGCGAGGAGCCTGTGCTGTCCCCAGAGCAGGGAGCAGGGGCTGCCTCCCCACGCAGCACCCGTGGTGCTGGGGGACTCTGTGCCCGGCTCCGTGTGGCACCACAGAAGCCACACCACCCTCCCTCGGCTCTGCAGCACAGCCACTTACTCCTAATCGATTCTGACAGCAGACACCACGAGGAATGCTGAGATTTATGAAAGAGCAAGATTTGCCACTAGCCTCTGTCCATTAAGGGTACGGCAAAACCTCGCTTTGCCCTTTGTAAATACAATCAGCAGAAGTGAGGCAGTTGCCCTTTTCAGAAGAAAGAGCACTCTCAAAGGACAGATGTTTTAGCAAAAGTTCTCAACATGCTCACAAGCAATAAGGCTCCAAATTCTTTACAATTTTTCTTCAAAACGTTTCTCATTCCTTTAAGTGCTTTTTAAAGACTAACTACTGTACTGAAAGCTGCAGTCTCTTCTTTAGCCACGTATTTTCCCTGCACTACAGGAATATGGGGCCAATTACAGGCCGTGTAGTTTGTAAAAAAAAGCTGGCCTGAATGTGGAAACCGTGACCCCCAAACCTGGAGGACTCATTTTGCACATTTTTAAAAGCAGACATAAAGTGAAGGTGAAGGCAAAGGTAAAGCAAGGCAATCTCACTTGTTGAAGTTATCCTGTTTGCTGGGAATGAGTTCTCTCTGCATCTGTGCAGATCTTCACTGGAAAGCAAAGATGCCTGTTGCTCTTGCTAGAAGAGATTTTTCATCAAATCCCCAGGTTATTGTTTAGTATTTCTGAGGTTTTATGGTGAATTGGAATATAAGAGTTGTTATTCCTACTGTGGCACACTTAATTCTGATCTCAGAAAGGATAAAAAAGTTATTTTTAGTTGCAGATTTAATATTTTTTTCACCTTTAATGTGATTAAAGTCTAAAAGACCTTGGTAATTCTACTCCTGTCATTGCACACAAAACTTGCTGCCACATCCCTTTGCAGGTAACAGGCTACAAAAGGAAGGGAAGGACAAGCTCAAGATGATTGATGTATTTCCTCCAAACCACACAGTCTCTAATTCAAGAGACAATGTGCTCTGTACGTGATGGAACAGAAGTATCAGAGCAAACCTGTTTACTTGCACACCAGCTGGGGTAGGGCTGAAGTTGAAATAGAAGCATAACTACTCTTAGGTAAAAGTGCTTCACTTCTTCAAGCCTCAGCTATTTACTTGCATCAATTTAGGCAGATTTTCTTCTTCCTCTTGTGGAAAAATTTTAGTTCTCTCTCTTGCAAGGAAGTTGAGGCCCTGAGAAATACTCTCTGTTTGAGAAAACACAGCAGTGATGAAGAGCTGGCCAGAGGACCCCCAGACCAAAGACAGGCAGGTTTCACTTGTGTGACCAGCCCTTGGTGGAAGGGTCAGAACTCTCCTGACATTGCAGACTCCACGCACACCTCTGCTGGAGTAACTGTCCTTGAGAAAATTCCCAGACAGGAGTGCTGGTATTTGTTTAGACATGGTCCAACATGCAAAGCTTTTTTCCACCTATCTTTTCCTTCCAGGTTTAGAAGCCCTGCGGTGTGCACATGGAAGCCAAGGACTGTGATCTTCAATGTCTCGTGTGGCTCTTCCAGGCTCACAATCACCACCTGCTCCGAGTTCTTCCAAAGAGCAGTTTAGCTTCTTGTGGGGAGATTATGGATTGCTCCCCAATCCATGGGATCCTACAGCAGCTGGCAGTAATGGGATGAACACTACTGTGAAGATTTTATCCCCTTTGGATCCCCATGGTGAGTCTGCCCCAGTGCAAGAGGCTTTTACTACACAGTGCAGTAGTACATGTATCAAACGTACCAAACCTGCGTGGTCTCAAACCCAGTGAGTGCAAGTGCCACAAATCCCTGGCTGTCACTGGCAGCCCTAGGAAAAGGAAATCCTGAGCATGAAAATGGAAAATGAAAAGGGAAAATGCCAATCCCTTCCTGTCCTCCTTCTAGAACAGGACTCGGGCACGAGGTGAGGCGGTGTCCTGTGTTTGCTCTGAGCTCCTGCAGGCACAGTCCTGCTGCCACTGGAGCTGTCACTCTGCCTCTCCTGCAAGGAAGCTCCTCTGAAATGCCACACAAATGACAGCAGAAGAGGCATGGTTGGGCACAGGAAATTTCAAGGTATTTCACTAATTCAGCTAGCGAAGGTCATGTTTCTTTACCAAGTCATCTTATTGGCTCACTTGAAAAACAATCATTTTGCAACAGAAAAAATAACTATTTACTGTAAAAAAGCTTCTTTAGAGAAAGCTCACCTGGATAAGAAAAGTGACACAATTATGTGTTTTTAAAAATCCAAATCTTGGAACTAGGGAACACAACAACATTCCAGGATGATTTATTTTGATTTTCCACTGCTTGATTCACCTTTTTTGAGAGAGGCCTGGGGAAAAGCAAAGCACTTTACATTGAATGCCACACACTATCACACTGTCCATCTACCAGATCTTGTCCTCAGTGCCCAGAGGTAACTGGTGGCACCAAGGAAAAGGCAGCTGCAGCCTGGGACTGGCTGCCTGCACCTTCTGCTGTGGGCTTTGGCATCAGGTGAGGGTGCCTGAAAAATAACTGATTTCAATTTTATTTTGTTTGTGCTGCATCATTCCCCAAGTCTCTGCACTGTGACAAGGGAGGGAAGGCATGCAGCCATCAAGGCTTCTCAGGGACATGCAGGACACAGGGAAAGGCACACACATTGTAAAAACTTTATTTCAAAATCTTTTTATTCAACTGTTATTCAGCAATATACAATACAGTTTATAAACAAATGTCTTACCTTGTTTCCAATCTTCATTTAAAAATAAATATTATTGACAGTGAATATTAATTATGGTAAGATGTACCTTTTTAATGTCTCCAAAAGAAATAATTTAATTAAAAAAGAAAAAGGAAATCCAAAAAAAACTAAACACAATAATCTACTAAAAATATTTCCTTTCTTAGGAAGGGTTTGACCCAACATCTTTACATATTGTCATAAAGATAACTGCTCAACAGTTCGTGCAAAATGAAGAGTCAGAGGAAAGGTTTAGAAAAGAAAAAATATTACATTAAAATAGAGGAATCGTAAGTGCCATGCACAGAGCAGGGCTTTACACCATAGAGTCTGGAAATTAGATGCATTATTCTATGTTGTTTACTTTTCTGTGGCATCCCCAAAAATATGTTTTTCCCCCCATGTAGAATTTATCATGCTTCTTTCAGTCTCTTTCTGTCCATCTTTAAAACGGTAGGGATTTCTTTGTCAGGGGTTTTGTTTGTTATTAAATAGGTTCCTTTCTGTTTGGCTGAGGAGGAGTGGAGGGAGCAGTCCGTCAGTGGTTTACTAATAAATGTACAAGCTTATGCAGTATTAACAGGGACATGTATAGGAGTGGGTCTGTAGCATAAATAGGTCCTGTACCTAGAAAAGAAAGAGACAAGGGAGAGAAGGAGATTTGATTTTTTATCTTTTCCAATATAGAAGATTAAATGCAGAAGAGCAATATAAGAAGATTCATTTTTATCACTTCAGTGCCAGGGGTCAGAAGCTTAATTTTAATAGTAAAACAGCATCCTCAAGCTATCCAACTCAAATAGCTTTTTCCTCCCCCTCCCAAATCTGACTCCACTTAGGTCATTTCATTATGTGTTACTAATGGTATGCCTAAACTTGGCTTCAGCCAAGTTACCAGCAATTGAGATTTCTATAAATACACCATAATCTGGTATATAGTTTCTTGAGAAATGACAGGTATCAACCACCCATTACTTTAAAGGGAAATGACAAATGCTGCGTCTGTACTTCTTGATTAACAGGACATGAACCCATTTCATTTGGAATGGGAACAGCAAGACCTTGACATCTTCTTTACCTTTTATAGGAAAGAGCAGAATTTTAAATTCAAAATGTGCTCAGGAGCTATAGAAAAACAGAGGTCGGGTGTGGAACACATCTGTTCCCGTCAGCCTGTCCCAAGGAGAGCGATGAGCTAACTCCTGGGGCAGGACACGCTGAGGCAATTGCTCACAGCAGCGAGTGGCAGCCACCTCCACGCTGCAGCCACCAAGGCTGGCCCTGCTCACACCCATTCACACCAAGATACTCGCTCAGCTCTTTTCTGAAAAGACACCAGAAGGTATTTGTGTGTGCACCGTGGTGTGGCCCCTCTTTCCCCTCACGGGAGGGCTGAGCCAAGGGGCCGAGGTCTCTTGGCCACGCTCAGCCAAGAGAGGACACACAGGCACGAGGCTCTGGCTGTGCCACTTCTGGAATGGTCACTGCTGTGCTGCCAGTGGAGGCAGAGCAGCCCCATTCCCTGGAGCAGCCCAATTCCCAGTGCAGCCCCGTTCCCAGCACAGCCCCATTCCCATTACAGCCCCATTCCCATTACAGCCCCATTCCCCGGAGCAGCCCCATTCCCAGTGCAGCCCCGTTCCCAGTGCAGCCCCATTCCCAGAGAGCCCCGTTCCCTGGAGCAGTCCCATTCCCATTACAGCCCCATTCTCATCTCAGCCCCATTCCCAGTGCAGCCCCGTTCCCATTACAGCCCCATTCCCATTACAGCCCCATTCCCAGCACAGCCCCATTCCCAGCACAGCCCCATTCCCATTACAGCCCCATTCCCAGCACAGCCCTGTTCCCATCTCAGCCCCATTCCCATCTCAGCCCCATTCCCATTACAGCCCCATTCCCAGCACAGCCCCATTCCCAGTGCAGCCCCATTCCCATCTCAGCCCCATTCCTATCTCAGCCCCATTCCCAGCACAGCCCCATTCCCATCTCAGCCCCATTCCCAGCACAGCCCCATTCCCATTACAGCCCCATTCCCAGCACAGCCCCATTCCCATTACAGCCCCATTCCCATTACAGCCCCATTCCCATTACAGCCCCATTCCCAGCACAGCCCCATTCCCAGTGCAGCCCCATTCCCATCTCAGCCCCATTCC